TATATGTACCATTAAAGAAATAAAGCCTAAGGAACAGATTATGTAAATAAAATCGAGTGCAGCATTAAAATTATCCTCTTAATAACGAACATTGTAGCCAAATCGCATGCCGCACGCGATTTCGGTTGGATAAACAATAGTTAAAAAAGCATAAATTGCCTTCAACTGCCTCTAGTTCCTGTTTACGTCTTTGCAAATATATTACAAATAACTAACGATTCACCCTCGTTTTGCTTGGGCTCGTCCCCAGGTAGGTTTCAACGGCTATATGATATATGAAGGGTTTTGTATCCACTGCTTGAGAAATGATTGATTCCCCATACAAACTTTTTAAAATCTACAATTTTCAAGTACATTGTTTTGATGTATCTCTTAAAGTTTAGTCAGCGTTAGCCATGTAAATTTCTAAGGACGTCTCGATTGAACCAGTTATTGTGTTTTCCTGTGGGAAGAAAGATTTAACAGGAAAATCTAAATAAAAGTAAAAAGTATTCTAAATGTTGATCCGAGTAATAAGTTTTGCACAAAATTTAGTTAACTTCGGTTCAGTACTTTTTGCCTGAAACCCGAACAACCAAACAGACATACAGACAAACACAGAAAATTTAATTACTATTGTTTTGGGGTCTGTATTCTGTATACAACACGATACATTCATTGTTTTAAAAAAAGTACAGATTTCGGTAAGTTACTGCTTTATTATACGTATGTATAGATAAAAAGCTTCTGCACTTGGATTCTCACACGAGTCTGTTCTTGACCGATTTCAAAAAAGGAAGAGATTTTAATTGTTGTGTGTAAAGTGAAATAAATAAAAATAGTTATTGTAATTATTATACACTCGGAAGTAGACACATGTTATCGCTGTTCTGTAGACCTTTAAGACCTGTAATTTTCGAATACATTTTTTTTTTCATTTTTAAAATTCGAAAAAAATAGTAATTATGGAAGGTCCACTACCGGACCGGGCTTAAAAATAGCATGATGGATAGAATGTAAAATAGAAAATTTAAAAAATTATCGAAGGATACACACAGTTTTAAAAACACGATTGAAAACTTTTCAAAATTATCGATTGAAACTAAACTTCAAAAATATCGATTAAAACTATATTTTTTTTGTAAAGGTTATCCAAAACCAAAAATGTTGAATAAAAAAAGTTGAATTTCGACCATTATTAGGAAAGTTATGAGCAAAAAAAACAAAAAAAAGCGGTTTTAAACCAGTGGTCAAAAAATCACAAAATTTACCAGGAAGTCTCTTTTGAGGACTAAAAATACCTAAATATACGTAATTCAAACATATTTTTTTTTAAACCGTCCGGTTTGGCGTGGAATGCCCACATACATATTATAAATATAAACCCCATGAGTCGAATACAAACATTCGTGCTCATCACTCAAATGAACGCCTCTAGCAGGACTCGAACCCGCGATCGCTAACACAGCAAGTAGGGTCACTACAAACTGAGCCAAACGTGTCGTCAAAACTGTAACTTTATATAACACAATCCTGCTATTTTATTCCGCCATCTTACTTTTTACACTCGCATTTTTGCTCCGTACGTATAAAACTAACAATGTTGCAAGTCTCATCTTGCCTTAGGTCATATGTGAAAGCTTTTATAATCATATATTCAAATCATCAGAGCTTTCATCCATATTATCTGCCACGTATGTATGTAGGTCAAAATTATTTACGTATGCTACTACTGTTGTAAAATTTTTATCTTCAAATTTCATTGATTTGTAGCAAATCGACATTCTATATATTATGAAGAACGCCATTGTCAATAGTAAATAATAATAAATAAATAATAAATATGTTGGAACATTAACATACAGCACCATCTAGTTTCATGGTAAAGTACGAGGCTTGTGTTATGGATATCAGATAGTTGATATACTACACATCTATAGATATAATAAAATTGTAACTAAGCCGAATCTGTACATTAAATATATTTTGGAAAACCTTATTGAAATAAACATTATTATCGATACAGAGGCCAAATCTATAGTTTTTAGAATTTTTGTCTGTATGTCTGTCTGTCTGTCTGTTACCGCATCACAAAAAACCACTGGAGGGATTTTGATGAAATTTGGTATGGTAATAGCTGGTTATCCGGGTCAACATATAGGATACTTTTTACCGCGGGAAAATGTCTCATTTCTGAGTAAAAATACAAAAACTGCAATGTAGGAGTATACAAATATGTAAACGAGCCGCGGGAAATGCTAGTAATATATATAACTTTAAATTCATACATATTATAGATACAAACACCCATGACTGGAGTACAAACATTCGTGCTCATCACACAAATGAATGACCCCAGCGGGACTCGAACCCGCGACCGCTGGCACGGCAGTGAATATTCTTATCAATTTTCTTAGAATTAAATAGAAAATCTTTAAAAGATGAAAGTAAATTAGGTTTATGCGGGACTCCTGGGATTAGTACAATCACAGATCATAAAATAGTATACTAGGTACAATATATCGAGAAAGTTATGACAATAACAACAAAATCAAAGAATTTTCTTGATTATCGTCCATATAAAAAGAAATGAACGTGGTCGACGATACCCGCGGGAAATTGAATGAAATGTTTTGCTTCCATTGATTTGTCGCAATCGAAGAATGTGATCGCAATCTGATACCGTCGGTATGAAAAGGTTTTTGTGTTTTTTTATTCCGTCTCAACAAATCACGTTTGTTAAAATCGTTTTCTTACAATTTTCTAATTTATTATTATTGAATACTAAGCTGTAAAAGTAATTTTTCTTCTATACATATAATAAAATTCTAACTAAGTCAAATCTGTACATTAAGTATTTTTTAGAAAATCTTATTGAAATAGATATTATTATCGATACAGAGGTCGAATCTATAGTTTTTAGAATTTTTGCCTGTCTGTCTGTGACCGCATCACAGAAAAATCACTGGAGGAATTTCGAAGAAATTTGGTATGGCAATAGCTGGTTATCCGGGTCAACTAATATACTAATACGAGTATACTAATATATAAAACCTAAGAATTTGGTTTTGGTCATATTAACGCGGGCGGAGCCGCGGGCAATGCTAGTATTATACAATATGATTATTATGCGATAGTAATTACTGGTTACGTACTTTTGGCGTCTCATTTCTGGGCTTCTCAATTTGAAGCGATTAGGGGATAGTCCAATATACTGGCTTCACACGGAGACTTCACACGTCATCGAAAATATGTAAGGTTCTCTCAGATATGTAGGTTATCGAATTCATTAATCATATTGAAAAAGATTCACGCATGAAAATCAGATTTGCGAGATCAGATTTGCGAAATCCGGGGTTTAAAGACGATTGATGTTCTAAGCGAGCGCGTTATTACAATTATCTTGACAAATATATCGTATTGTGTTGTATACACAAAAAATAAGGGCAAAATTGAGTAAATTCAGGAGTTCAAAAATGTATAGATACATATTTTTTTAATATCAAACCTAAAATATGAATCGCTATGTATATCTTTTAGATATCATCTATTGCTAGATTAACTCTAACTGCCTCGGTGGTGTAGTGGCTAGCATGTACGGCTGCACACCCGGAGGTCCTGCGTTCGAGTTCCGGGCCGGGCCAAGTTTAGTTATTGAGTCTTTCTGTATATTAAGCTTCAGTAACAGCCCGGAGTTGGGAAGTTGGCGGTGTTTCACTCCCGTGCCTCGGAGAGCACGTAAAGCCGTCGGTATTGCGCCTTAACTCTCACCGGTCGTGTCGAGCAGTCGTCCCGCCGGAGAATGAGAGTGATAGGAATAGAGAGTGCACGTTGTGTCTGCGCGTACACTTGTGCACTATAATATCTCCTGCGCAGTTGGCTAGTCTCAATGAGATTGGCCGCCGTGGCCGGAATCGGTCAGGAGAACATCATCATCATTGCTAGATATATATTATGTAACACATTTATATATTTAACTTTTTATTTTTAAACGCTGCAATCTCAATATTCTAAGTCTCCTCTAATAAAGGCGTTTAAAATAAGAATAGACAATATATAATTAGGAGCTTTTGCGAGAGCCCACAAAAACTTGAGAGTCGTTATCGTCACTGGCTGCAAAACATAAAAGAATATCTTTAAAATGGTTTCTAAAAGGACACCTATTACTGTCGTGTGCTTTACCAAAACCCACGTTTTCACGTAAAATATTTTATGTAAGAAAAAGATGCACTCATTTAAAGTTTGTATTATTTGTTCGACCTCCTTTGAAGTTATCAAAGTTGTAATTTATCGAGTAATAAGTGGAGTTCTCCGCAAAAGTTAAGTTTTCTAAGTTTTAATAGTGTTTATCTGGTTAACAAAGTTATATTTACGAGAAGATTTACGCTACTATTTAAGATACTCTCAGGACCGGCCTTAGCCATTTGCGCGCCCCGGGCGAGTCATGCCTTTGGCGAGGTATATTTATTTCATTACAATTAAAAAAAAACGTGTATGTAGAATTATTTAGTGAGAGATACGATAAAACGCTGAGTCTAGTTTTCCTTTAGATCGATAAAAAAAGTATTCAAATTAAATGGTTAAGTTGAGCTGGCGCGCGCGGCGCCCTGTATAACTTGGCGCTCCGGTCGCCCCCCCTAAAGCTGGCACTGGATACTCTCATACACGGTATTTGCTACAGCCATAGAATTTTAAGATTTTATGTGTCTTATTGTTTGGAAAGTATAAAGAGCGATCCACAATATATGTAGTGCCGATCGCGGTTCGTTCTCGGTCTGATATTGATCTGGTAAAGTATTTTATACAAGAAATAATGAGTAAGAGTCTCTCAGTGAGAATCAAGTTATGATCGAATCACACTTCAGTAACTTTTCTTGTATAAAATTTGGTTTTAAATACTTATCATACCGATATCGGACCGAAATCAGACGGTGATCGGCACTATATTGTAGATAGACCATAATAGCAAACTTTTAGAAGTCGAAGAATAGACTTTTTGTAATAGTTGATATTATTTCCAGCTGCAGTTGGAAGCGGGCTCCGGCGACGGCCCCGGGCCGCCGGTGAACAACAACACCGAGGGCGCGGTCGCCAGCCCCCCACGGGACGACAACCACAATGCACAGCTTACCACGACGCGAGCCACGCCTCTTACTCCTTCAGGTTTGATTTATATGTCATCGTATTTATGTACCATTCTACCTTATCATTGAATATCTATTCATATACCTAATACATGCTATAGACTATATTTTCCTCGTCATTTAAAAAATATTTTTATAGCTAAATATAAGCTGCTAGTGCTACCCGATTTCAATGTGCGAGCTTCATAATTTGTGTTAGCTCCTCTTTCGAATGAAATTTTACAAATATATGGAATCCGTGTCTCATTATTTTTAATAAGCAATATTTGTACTCAATGTCACAGCCATATTTTTATGTAATGGATTGCGTACAAGAGTTTTACATCATTTTTATCAAAAAACCCAAATTCCTTTCTTTACTATATAACCTTTACTATATACAAACCACGTGAACATATTTCATGATCTTCGATGCTTGAGCTGTATTAGATTTCGTGAATAATTAGCCAGTGAGAGGTATTTTGCTTTTATAATGACGACACAATTGGCTCAGTTTGTAGTAACCCTACTTGCTGTGCCAGCACACGGTCACGCAGGTCACGGGTTCGAGTCCCGCTGGGGGTATTCATTTGTGTGATGAGCACGAATGTTTGTACTCCAGTCATGGGTGTATATATTTATAATATGTATGTATTTAAAGTTATATATGTATAGTGTATCAACTATCTGGTATCCATAATACAGGCCTCGTAGCTTACCATGGAACTAGATGGTACTGTCATGCTGTGTATTAATGTCCTAACATAAAAAAAATACTTACTTAAGTAAATAGCATCTGTAATAAACTTTACATCTTTTTCTACTAAAACCTCTTAGAAAATATTTGAAGAATGTTTTAAAACTGCTGAAGCTGTTTAATTACAGGAACTTTTCTTAAACTCGATACCCTTTTCGATTTTAAATCTTTTATTAAAGACAGAAATTTTACAACTTTATTATTTCCATGAAATTTATTTTCTATACCTATACAAATTGAAAACCGTGTCTTTTTTTTAAATAAAATAATATGTTTAGTGACTATATAATATATATTATATTTTATATTTAGTGACTAGACCCACCCTTGCTTCGTTTGGGTTCGTCCCTAGGTACGTTTTAACGGTTAGTATGGAATAGATAGATTTTGATGTTTTATATTACTGCTCCACTCCCTTGGGTAGAAACATGATGATATATCTATACTTATTATTATAAATGTGAAAGTGTGTTTGTTTGTTTGTTTGTTTGTTTGTTTGTTTGTTTGTTTGTTTGTTTGTTTGTTTGTGTGTCCTTCTTTCACGTCGAAACGGAGTGACGGATTGGTGTGATTTTTTGTGTGGAGATATTTCGAGAGCTGGAGTGTGACATAAGATACTTTTTGCACCGGGAGTTTATCTAATTCCTACAGGAATACATGTTATAATACAATCCAAAAAAATATTTATGATCAGAATTACTTGAAACTTGGTATTATTGCTTTTCAATAAAATTAAATAAATATGTATTTTAGCATTTTTCGAAATTCATCCTATAAGGGGGTAAAATAGGGGATGAAAGTTTGTATGAAACTACATTTTTAAAGATTTTTTTGTAGTTTTAGCGCAAACGAAGCCGTGGATTCTGCTAGTAGTCTATGTAGCCTTCTGATAAACAAGCCGTCTAATGCAAACATATTTTTCAATAGTTCCTGAGATAAGCGCTTTCAACCAAACAAACAAAATACAAAACAAACTCTGCATCTTTATAATATCAGCATGAATTTAAAAAATAAGCTCTGTTATTTGTAGTAAAAGAATATTCTATATTATTTTAATTATGCATACCGAAAAGACAAACTGAAAGTTATATGAAGGCAGTGTAATAAGGAGGATGATTTTTGTCTTAAGCTTGTCTCGTTAGCAGCTGTTGCCGGTCGAAGTTGAACCAAATCCATTTCACTTGTGAATTTCAAAAATATTAGTATATTTCAGTTTTATTAATCGATTTCCAAAAAGAAGGTTATACGTAAATTCTTCTAAATACGTAACTCTTGTCTTCTTTTTAGCCGAATTCCAAAAACGAGGAGGTTCTCAATTCGTCGGAATATTTTTTTTATGTATGTTCACCGATTACTCGAAGATGCCTGAACCGATTTGGATTTTTTTTTGTTTCAAAGGGTATACTTCCCAGGTGGTTCCATATAAATTTTATCAAAATCGGTCGAGCGGTTTTTAAAAAAATCAACAATAAATATTTTTTAAACAAATTGTTTAATCGAATATGTTATTAAAAACTTTCTTCCTACAAATTACCTGCTTATTACGTCTACACTAAAAATATAAAAATAAAAACTTTAAATAAATAAATAAAACCGGACAATATTTTAAGATCTATAATATCTAATAGGTAAATATGTATTTAACGTATCAAAATATATTAGATTTCCTATGCGTCGGCTGGCACCGACCGAAAATATCTGATTAGGTATCTATTCTAAATGAAAACCCCCATTTAGTTATTTTTTGGATTTTAGTGCCTGGAAGTCGTTTTTTTTTAAGTTTTTATTCCAGTTTCTCTTATACTCTTAAAAAGGGAGTAAAAATTTGAAAAAGAACCACCCAAAATGTTTTAGTGAAGATACATATGTTAAGTAAATTTTGAAATAAGACGTTTTTCGTTACACGTTTTTTGGTTTAGAATTTTTTTTCCGTTGTATTTTTGAACAATAGTTTAGATTGATGAAATGAATATTGTAATTACGTGAATATTTTATTTTAAAGTACTTTTAGCTTAACAAATTTCGTAAATGCACTTGAATTTTTTTTTATTTGCGATGTATAATCAAAGTATAAGTTGATAAAATATAAGATTCTAAATAATATATTTTTTATATTTTCTTGCTTTAATACGATGTACAATAAAAAATAAGTTTATATAGTAATATTATTATTGTTAATTAATATAATAATAATGTGGTAAATCTGGTTCAAATTAAGAACGTTCCCTAGGAAATTATTCACTTAATTTTTTTTTCATTTATTATTTCTTTTACTTTCATCTATACAGATAAATTAAACTGAAGTGTCTGTTTGTAACGTCAAAAAACAGCTATTTACTAAATGCATATGGAATTATATAGGTACGGTATTTATAAGAAAAATTTTTAAAATTTTTGTCTGTCTGTTTGTCCCGGCTAATCTCCGAAACGGCTGGGCCGATTTTGACAGGACTTTCACTGGCAGATAGTTGATGTTATAAGGAGTAACTTAGGCTACTTTTATTTCAGTAAAAAAATTAGGGTTCCGCTCAAAAATATTAAAATGTACCTAGAGACGTGAGTCGCTAGTTATTTATATACCTATTAAAAGCATGAAGCATAAGTTAAAGAAATAACCATTAGCACAATCTCTATTTTCATGCCGCTATTGTACACTTGTAACGAGAATTTTTTCTTCAACAATTCAAAATTTTGTGAGTTTTTATCTATTTAATAATAGCAGTTTTGTCTAGAAACAAGTTTTAAATTCATTGTTAGTTTCCTTTGATTTGCCATCTGGGTGAAGGCAAATGTGCTCTACATACAAGAGTATTCTCGGTGTGACCGAAAGCTAGTGCGTATTCATTCCTATAGAGTTCAACCGAGACTAAAATATTTTTGTATTTTTTGGTTGTAAATGTAAGTCTTTAGGTCGTTGTTAATTCATGACAAAGACAGAAAATTAATTAATGAAAATAGCTGCAAGTAGGAAAGAGATAGAATACTTTATAGAAAGGAAGAAACTATCTCTACCACAATATTTTGGTGGATACATGATAAATGAAAAAAAAAAAATTGGTACCATTTTTTTTAATTTACCCTTAGTATTATTTTGCTAACCGTCTGTTGAAGCTAGTGGTTTATTTGTTTTAAAAAGTGAAAAGATAGTGAAAGTAGACTGTTGTAGAAAATAGTGTTCAGTAATTAAATTAAGCCATTGGCTTGCTATAAGTCCCTTTCATGTACGTTAAAGTAATGAAATATTATTTGAAATTAACCAGCTTTAATTTCCGATCCCAGAACCCAAGCTCGTGATAATGTATATCATAAAATATATATAAACACTGTTGCACCTACTCAGTTTGATTTGATTTAATAATTACTTTCTAGGGTTTCGTAGCAAAAAATTCTTGACGAAACTTACATTGTGGGATTGTACGTCTCTAAGGTCGTAAAAGTTACACAACTGTTCTAACTTTTCAACCGACTTCAAAAAGGAAGAGGTTCTCAATTCGACTGTATTTTTTTCATGTTTGTTACCTCAGAACACCGTCATTTATTGACCGATTTGGACAATTCTTGTGTTGTTTGAAAGTGTATAATTCCAGATTGGTCCCATTTAAATTTCAAAAAGAAATACCACCCCTAAGGGTGGAAAAATAGCTAGTGATGAATTTAACCTACTTCTAATTGTCATATTGACTTGAAACTTTGCAAGTGTTTCTATTTCCGTTGATAGTACAGTGGTTCGGTATTGTTAACCTGATCTGATTGTAAGGCCAGAAGGTGGACAGGTGGAACTCTTCAACGGCTAATAGTAGATACTTTGAGTTTGGGCTTATTTTGTTTGATTTGACAAGCCTAACACGTTAGAATTCTTACTTTGCTACTACTGTCTACACTAAAAAGGGAAAAATAAAAACTTTTTAACAAAAAAAATAAAAACCGACTTCAAACAAAAGCACTAAAAAGTAAAAAATAACTGATTGGTAGTTTTAATTTACTATACATACCTAATCAAATATTGTCGAAGTCGGTGTGCTTTGGCTAAGTAATTTAAGCCAACCTATTAAATACATATTAATCAAATATTTTCGAAATCGGTGCCAGCCCATACAAAGCAAAGCACACCGACTTCGAAAATATTTGATTAGGTATGTATAGTAAACGAAAACTACCAATCAGTTATTTTTTACTTTTTAGTGCTTTTGTTTGAAGTCGGTTTTTATAAAGTATGGGGTGGAAAATTCTGAAAAAATATAATATGTTACAGAGCTATCAAAATTCTTTCAACGAAAATTATT